ACTCTACGTCGGGTACTCGAACACCACTACCAGTTCCAACAGCTAAAGTTCGTTTGCCTTATTGATTTTTGAGATGCTTTTGACTAAGTTGACCGTGAAAAACTGGAAAATCCTACTTGCAGATGGCGTGCCGTTTAAACTCCTTAAGTTGATTAGATCATGCTAACGTTGCACGCAGGCCCTGATTCGATTCTATGGAGAAGAAACAAAGGAATTTGACATGAATACTGGAGTTCAACAGGGTTGCCCAGGTCCTCCAGTGCTATTTCACTTTGCAGACCACTGGGATATGCATCGTGCACTTGAGGGTTCTCGTGATGTTCAAGTTAGCTCTGAGTTCTGGTCGTCAGACCTGGAATGTGTTACTCATAACGCTATCCTTGCAGAAGTTTCTGTGTCACTACAAGCACTAATAAATCTGGTCGACTAATCAGTCTCAGTGATCGGCCTCAAAATTAACATCAGCAAGACGAAGTACTTCTCAGCGTCCACCACCCAGTCCGCCCCGTCCCTCTCCTTACATGGAGAACTCTTCGAGTCTCTTCCTGAATTTAGGAACCTTGGATCCACTATTCTCCCAAATGGTCAGGCTATATTTGGAATCCGAAATCGTACTGACAACGCCAGAACAGCCTTCTTACAACTGAAAAGCATGTTATGGAGAAGGACGGAAATTAGTCTCAGAACGAAAGTCCATTGTCAGCAACCTTTCAAGCTATTTAACTCTGTGGTTGCGAAACATGGCCGCTACGGTCCGAAGATATCGGGACGTATTAACTTTTCGACCAATGGTTTCTAAGGCTTACGTTGAAAACGCAGAGGCATGAGCATATCACTAATGATGAAGTTCGTAAGCGGTGTTACGGTCATCCGAAGCTCTCATCGCTCATCCAACGCCACAGACTTCAGTGGTTCGGTCGCGTCCTCCGCAAACCAAAAACTGACTTCACTAGGGGCGTGGTTTAACCCTCACTTTGCCAGGTTTGTTGTCGTCGCCCTAGTAGACGAGTGCAAACGTGGCTCGCTGCAATGAAATCGGATGTCGATCTTCTGGGACTCCAAGATGTGCATGGTTCTTGTCACCGTAAAAATCACTGGATCAGTATCCGCGTGGAGCTTACCACCCACCACCGCGCTTGGGCAGCTGCGATTCGCGATATTCTTGAAGCCGGCTCAACCTGCCGCAGGAGCTAACCGCAGTAAAGTCAGTATGTTCGACAACTGTTAATTAATTTGTTTTTGTCAGATATCGAGTAACCATATGTATGCTGGTATTTGCAAGATCTTATTGGCTGGAAACAACGTTCTATCGGACGATTGCATAGCAGCCGATCATGTGAATCTCCTTTGTTTCTCGGTATCATTATGCAAGGTTTACTTTGAGGAGGAAAGTAGTCGGCGTTAAATGAAAATGTGGCTGTTTGGCATGAGATGAGGCACGCCTTCGCCAGCATGCTTTATTAGTGCATAGGGAATACCATATAGTTCCGTATGGAGCACCTGTTTTTGGATGTGCTAGATACTTTTACGTCTTTCGGACTTATGTATGTGGTTCGGAATACTACTTCCGCTCCGTTTGGTAATAAGGGACAGGGTGCCGTTTGTTCTATTTTGAAATACGAGCGCAAAGTTAGTATCAAATGTTTCTTTTAT